AACTGCGAATTTTGAAGGATGCTTGTGTTTGGGTCCTCATATTGTTTGGAAAGTGCAAATGTGATAGATTGGCCTTTAAGTGGGACATGAATCTAATTTATCCCCCATCCCTATAACTTGCATAGAGACATCCTACTCCAGGACCATAGCTCTGTAGCAGAGACTAGCCTTTACATATAGAAGCTCACATGTTTGCTCGGTATCCTATCAGTGCTAAAAGGATGGCAAGAAAGGAAAGTCCTCTGGCTGGCACCTTGAAAAGCTGCTGCTGGTTGTAGCCAACATTGAGAGCTAGATAGGCATCTGTATACATACACTCATACCTGACTGATATGAGAAATATAAGCTTTGTGTCCACCATCACACTTCCTTCCTGCCTGCCTTCCTGCCTTTCTTTCTTTCTTTCTTTCTTTCTTTCTTTCTTTCTTGCCACTGCCCATGTTACATCTGTTCCTTTTAGTCTCCCCTTGCATTGATTTGAAAAAACAACAGCAAGTGAGCAGTGCATTTATTGCAGCAAGCTTTTCTCCCTCTGACAAGCACAATAGATTGTACCCTGCCTGAGCCCTGAATCCATGGCCTACAAACCACACCATATGGTTAATTTTTAAGCCAACTGATCAAGTGTTTAATAAGGCAGAGGCCAGAGACGGATGACGAGCTGTCTCAGTATGTCATTGACCTAGCAGTTCAGTGGCTTCTTAACCCTTCATACTATGATTGTGGCCAAACTATCAATGAAAAAGAGAGAGAACATCTATGATGGGCATCTAGGTTTACATTCAATGGCCCCACTGCAGAATAATCAAAAGCTGTTCATTCTGGGGGTGACTCTGGGCTGGTTGCCCAATGGATGCCATGTGCTTATTTCTTGATTTCATTTTGCTTGTTTACTCAACTTTGAACCTCCATATTACACTGCAGTATGTCACTGAATATCAGCTGCTGGGGAACAACCGCAAGAGAAGGCTATCCTTGCCTTTCAGCTCTGCGTGTGAGTTACCCAGCATCTGGATAGTCATTGCAAGGAGCAACTGAACTGAACCACTTCCACTCAGAGGTTTGTGGTTGTTGTTTAGTCATTTAGTCATGTCCAGCTCTTTATGACTTCATGGACCAGAGCACGTCAGGCACTCCTATCTTCCACTGCCTCCCGCAGTTTGGTCAAACTCATGCTTGTAGCTTCGAGAACACTGTCCAACCATCTCGTCCTCTGTCGTCCCCTTCTCCTTGTGCCCTCAATCTTTCCCAACATCAGGGTCTTTTCCAGGGAGTCTTCTCTTCTCATGAGGTGGCCAAAGTATAAATCCAGTAGAGGTTTCTCCGAGGTAACTCCCAGATGGACCATTGGTTCAATCCCAAAGTGCTCTTAATATGCTTTGATGGTCAACAGCGGAAGTTGTCAATAGACCCCACTGAAAAAGCAGTGTGTGATGGTGGGGCGGATGGTGGGGCGAGGTGTGGAAATTCTAGGTGTGAGATCTGTCATGGCTCATGCATGCATGCACTTCATGTCTTGATGTGGCACTCATTGAGGGATGAACATGTATTTGACTTCTCAGATCACAAGATGGCTCAAGTATTATTTGATCCATGCATCAGTTCAAGGGCTATGTCCATTTTACTGCAAGTTAAGAAACAGAGTTGAGGGAAACCTTTTTTCAGCCTTAAAGCCATATCCCCACATGGACAGTCTTCTGGGGGTAGGGTCCATGTCAGGAGCAAGAGGCAAGTGGGGGGAACAATGGATGTGGTTCTTACCTTTGTGCAGGAAGCTACAGTCTAGCCACTCCAAAATCAGAGAGGCTTTCATACACAGAGGCTGCACTCACACCGCACTTTATTGCATATTCCTGATATTTCCTTACCTGTGAATTTCTGCATTTAATGTGATCTTTCACATGACCTCAAAAACCACTTCTGGAAATCTAGCTGCCTCGAGGAGAAGCTTGGTGCTTGTTTCCGTGTTAATTGCTTCCAGAAAAAAAGAATCTGAGTGCAGCTCTGTTAACCCAGAAAGTCTTGGAGAACAGAAGCACACATATGCACCGATGGTAGTGATGGTGACATGTCTGATGATGTCTGTTGTGGGGGTCAAACCACACCCAATTTTAGTGTGATGTGGTTATCCATAAAAAACCCCCCACAGTTCTGTGATTCAACAGGTAATGCAGTGGGAAAGGGACACTGGAAATTGAGGCAGAAGCATTATAACCAGGAAAACTAACAGTAATTCCCACATCTGAATGCACTCAGGGATATGCAGAGGCAAACATGGACATACATCTCTCCAACCTCCAGAGAGAGAAACAAGAGGAATCATCACAATTCAATGACACATTTCATCAGGGCAAAAAGAGTTGAAAAGGACCTGGCTGGGTAGAGTCCCAAGGGCCAAATACAAGGGACCAGAGGGCCACATCCAGGCCCCACAGCTCTCATTCTTGGAACAAAGCAACATGCTAGAGGCCTAAATCCTGTAGATTCCATCCTGAATAGAAGACAAGTGTTCAAAAGCTCAGAAACAAAAATAGCAAATTACAAGGAGTACATACTAGTCTCACTGCTGTATTCTGAGCACCATGTTGCATTCAAAACATTGTCAGCAATACAGAAACAGTAGCAATGATTCCATTTTAATGTCTGGCAGCGAGACACACCAGTATTTTTCAGCTTTCATGAGGACACTGGCAGATGTAACAGCTGAGGGGCAGTAGACAGCAACCCCTAATACCCAAATCTGACAAGAAGTCCATAACCTGAATCAAGATCCCCAGGTACAGACTCCATAACCTGCCCTCCATGCTCAGTGCATGCCTAGGAAAGAGAAATCAGGGTTGTCATCTGGTGAAGCCAAGAAAGAAATTGGATCGTAGCAGGAAATAAAAATCAGACTTTTGTTGGAAGTAGAGTCTTAAAGTGTGAGTTCTGAGAACAACACAATAAATATTTGGATTAGGAAGGGGCAAAGACCAGGCTTGCGAGCATTCTATTTCAGCTATTTCCGCTACAGCTTCAAAGCTGCCAAAATATGTCCAGGATAACACAATAATAAACATTTTAGGAACTTCAAGTTCAAGCTTGAAGTTCAAGAGCTTGTCTATCATGTCCAGCATTAGCTAATCTTTTTGTTTTTATTGTAACATTTTAAAAATCTGTCTGTGGCTACGTACTCAACTGCTTTGCTTTGCAAAGGGTTATTTCAGTGGTGACAGTGTTTCTCACACAGCATTTTCTCAAAATGCATGCCAACAATTAATGCCACAAATATGATCTGCTCTATCGGACACTGGAGGATTAATGGCTTACCATGACCGGCTACAGAAATGTATGTCATGTTTCTTTGTGACTTGATGAAAACTTTCTAGAGCTTTGCTTAACTGTGCCATCCCCTCCACCAACTTGATGCTCTCCAGATGTTGTAGACTACAGATACTATCACCAGACAGCACAGGGCACCACACACTTAATGTTAGCATCAATGCAGAAAGCAAGGCCACAGCTACACCACACCCTTAAGTCACTCTTATACCACTACAACACACAATGCTCACTCCCCAAACATCCTGGGAATGTTGAGGGTATTGAAAGTCATTAGGAGACCCCCTATTCTGCTCACAGAATTCCTGAAGTGGTTTCACAATCAATTCTTCTTTCCAGGAAACTTTGGGGATTGTAGCTCTGCCAGCCTATCTCCAAACAACTCTCAGCACCCATAACAAGCTAAAGTTCCAAGGATGTGCTGGAAAAAACCTTGACTGTTAAAGTGATATGAATAGAGACGGGAGGACTTGTCAATTTTCAGTTCTCCCACTTTCTCATTTTTCCAGTCTTAAGTTCACTTCTCCACATTACTGCAACAATTTGTGGTTTTTACAATTTGGGGCATGTGGGTTCTTTTCAAAGAGCTCTTCTCCCTTTCCAACTCATAATTCAAACACTGAATCCATGTCTTTTAGATCCAGTATTCACCCAGTTTTTACTGGGTTAGGTGAAGATAGCCTTTAGGCATGTAACTTAGTACATCAAGTGGGGCTTTGAATGTTGCCAGAAACTAATGAGTTTATATTCACAGGGGCTAGTATCACAGAGTCAACAATAAAACATGTTTGTTTGGTTTATAATCATGATGCTTGTGATTCTGGGGAGGCAATACAGATGCCTCTCTCTGCTTCATTCCCTCTGCTTAATATATATATATATATTCAGAACTATGCAACCCCATGGTCTTCTGTGCAATAAAAGGCTGAGTCTTAGTACAAGGCTGTTGTTATGCAAATCAGGTGTCGCAAATCAGGTGTAGCAAGTGATGCTTTTGAATGAAAGGAATTTGAAAAGTCTGGTTTGAAGAATATTCCCTGAGACATAGCAGTTAAGACTGCAGAAACGATGGATTGTTTTGGTGCATGTGCATTTTTGTAAATTCCACACTGCACCATAAGATTTGTAGTGTGTATTGACTTATGTGGAGGTGAAATGATTAAATGAATTGAGGTGGTTTTTTGAGGGGGTGGTCTCTTCCCTTTCCGAGTCAAATCTCAATGCCTATACCCTCCATGAGTTGGATCAGGGCCCTCACAAAGCTTTGCCTTGCTATGTGTTTTCTGTTCTGTTCTTAACAGAATACCAGTGTATTTTATATATGTATATCTATGGGTTTTTTTTAGTTCCCGGGCTTTGCAGTGAGGACTAATCCATGCTTCTATTTATCCTGTGATTTCTAGGCGCGGGTCTGAGTAGTTTTTCTTCTGCCCCCCACTTTCTCCAGGAAAACTCACAGTTTACTACTGAAGCGGAACAAATGCCAATAGGGTTTTCTGCAATATTCAGCATGTGTTGATTTACTATATACAACCTGAGATAGACTTCAGGGGCAGCAGCATAGCTGAAACCAGAGGTGCGAAACCTGCTCATGCCCAAGGACCACATTGCCTTCTCAGCAGCATTCTTGAGGCTGCATGTCAGTGGCGTCTCAGGCCACAAACAGGTTGTTGTTTAAGGGAAAGTCTGTGGTTCAGTGGTGGAACATCTGCCTTCCATGTAGAAAGCATCGGGTTCAATCCCTGGCATCTCCACAAAGGCTCTTGACTGAAACCCTGGAGAGCTGCTGCCAGTCAGTGCCGATAATACTGAGTTAGATGGACCAATGTGTTTGACTACAGTATAAGGCAGCTTCTTATGTTCCTATGTTGTGAAGATGTTGTTGTTATTGTTGATTTAATTCTTGCCCCACCCTTCTTCTTTAAGGAATCAAGGACAGTTTTGGTGTTGTTCATGCTTTTTCTTCTAGAGAGGCATCTCTTCAAAATCTGCAGTTAGTCGCTAAAATATTTTCACAATGTGAAAATATTTTACAAACTAACACTGGGTTAACACTGGGAAGTTCACAGAGGCTCACTAAGTTATGACTTGTGTTTTGACAGAAGTCACCCTACCTTTTGTGTGGGAAGCAAGACAGGTGTACACAGATCTTGGTACTCTCTCTCTCTCTCTCTCTCCATCCCTCAGCCTTTCAGATTCTGTCCACTTTACCACTGCCCAATACTGCAAGACAAACATATGGTGTTTACTACGATGACTGACAACTTTCTAGTTTTTCTCGCTCCTCAAGAGAATCCCTTCCTGCCAACTCAATTTGCAAGGCCTTAGATCTTTCCACAGACCTTTGGTCTGCATCCAGAATATTCCCTCATATTCTCTTGGCAAAGCTCAGCAAAAGACAACCTGCATTTCCCCCCTCTATCTAATTAACAGTCCACCGAGAGAAAATTGCAGCCAAGGAATCATCAGAGCCAGTCTGCGCATTTGCCTTTTGTACTCCGGTTACGGGTAGGGAGGAAAGGCAAGGGGAGGGTTGCGTACTTCTCAGGGTTTGTGTCCAAAGTTCACCTTCACATGGTTATGGTTGCTATGAAATATGGACTTGAAGTCTGCTTCAATTGCCTACTGAGGTCTAGGGACACTGATTCAGCCCAAAGTGGGAGGCAGCCACCAGCAAACCCCTGGCAAATTAATAGGACTGAAGAGTTGCCAAAAGGCTGGGACTAGAATCTGTTGCTGTTTATGAATGCCCCATCTAGTTTGACGAGATGAGTGGCCAAGTGGACAAGAGTGAATTCAGAAAGAAATAGAAAGGCAAAAGAATATGGACTCATTAAGGCAAATTCTGAAGGTTGTATCCAACTGTCATAGTCAAAGTAGCAATCAATCGGCATGACTAACTATGGGCATAACTGATCCCTTATGCACCACTTTGATCACAGGGATCCTCTGATGGGGTACTTCTGGTGGTGCCCTGCATCCCTGAGATTTAGTTGGCCATTACTAAGGCCTTTAGTGCCAGTAGATGTTCATCAGTAATTATACTTGCTTTTTAAAAAAGATGTCTTCTGAAAACTGCATTGCAATATGAATTTCTCTTTTAACCAGCCAGTATTTACTGAGGCTTTGTTGAAGTTTTAAAAGATGTTTTTACTGATGCTTCTTCTCTACTTGGCAATCACTCATGGCCAAGTACGATTGTCTTCCATGAATGCAGTCTTAGCGGTGGTGTCCATAAATTACTGTGGAGGCCAATTCTGGATCCACACATCCTTCCACTGTGGGGACATAGGTTTCCAGGCAGGAGTTGATCACAATGAGGATATGCCAAACATGTCTTTCTCTTAGATTGTTTCTCCCTTTCGTTCTAAATCCATGTCTCTTCAAAATCCACAATGCCTTTGGTAGAGGCTATTTATAATATAATAATATTTTATAGTCATAAAATCAGTATAGCATCAATAATTCTCAAGAACAGAGACTGGGGAATTATTGATGCTATACTGATTTTATTATTATAATTTTATATGTGACTTGATACGCTTCTATTTAAGTGCAAACTAAAAACTATTCAATACATAAATACATAGATTTCAATACATTCCTTCTGTGCATGCCACCCTGACTATTTAATGCCTTCATCATAGCCCATTTCCCACATTCAACAAAGATAAACTTAGGGTTTGCAAGCAAGTGTGTGCCCAGTTGGGTGCTTCAGACAATCTCATATCCCCGACAGCTGTATCTTTATGTCAGGGAAGAGTCAGAATGCGCAGTTTCATCAATAGCAGGGGAGGGTTCTGAGCAGGAACTGGAAGAAGAGGAAGACAGGGAGCTGACACACGAAACAGGAGGCGGGGCATAGTCAGAAGGAGCAGGGGGTCAGGGATTGTGAGGAGCCCTACAACCCACCAGAGCCAGTAGGAGGAAGTTCAAACTCAGAAAAGGCGAGGGGGGCTTTCACACCAGCACAGGCAAGGAGGGAAATGAAATGTAAAGAGCAAAGACGTATTGCGAGGCTTCCACACCTACTTTGTTGGTGCCAAAATCAAAGGAAGCCACTCCCTGAATCTGACTCGATGGGTTCGGATGCGTGATTTTGAACTGCAGCTGTTCTTTGTACATATGTAATAAAGACTGTAAATATCACGCTGTATTGTGTTTTTAATATTCAGTTGGGAGCCACTCAGACTGGGGAAACCCAGCCAGGTGGGCAGGGTCTCAATAATAAATTATTATTATTATTATTGTTGTTGTTGTTGTTGTTGTTATTTTATATTATTATAATTATTCCATTTTTAAGACTAGTAGACCACACATATTTTTTTTTTAACACAAACAGGAAAACAGTTTTTTAAAATAGGATGGCAAAGTGGTCTTTTCAATAGATTGTCAACTGTTTTTGGACATATTTGGAAATGCTCACCAAGTATCAGATTTCATTGTGTCAAGAAGCCGGCTTCTGTAATTGTGATGACATCAAGGCAGTTAGTGCCAGTAAGGAGAGGAATGATTTTCTGTTTGCAAAAGATGCAGGGAGAGGGAGGTAAAAGATGGAGGCAATGGAAGCAGAGGTGATCGTGCCAGATGTACACACCCCAAGTGACTAACCCATATTACAGTCTTCTTGAAATGAAGGTCGATGGACACTGTGGTTTCTTTAGGGTATATGGTTTTATTTACACATATATGCAACCTGATGGAGGGACTCACAGCATTTGCACTCAAAAAGATCTTGCTTCTCTATAAGGTTTCCAGAGAAGCCCTAAGCCACAGCTTTGGGGTCTAGCACAGAGCAAGGCATATCTCTATGTCTCTAGCTTTCAGCCCCAGCCAAAAGCTTTCACACAAACACAGCCCTTAGCTTATTCTTCCCCCTACTAGGATGACATGGAATCTAGCCAGGTGAGGGTTGCCATACATCCGAAATTTCCCAGACATAGTTGGTAATTGGCTGTCGGAAACAGTGTCTGTGCGGAAATCACTGAAATGTCCAGGAAAATACTCTGTTTTCAAGGTAAACACTCACCTAGTTTTTAAAATTATTATTTAACAACAAAAAAGCTCAACAACTTTTCTGTCCAGATTTCCACTTTTTGAAATATGGCAACCCTATCTGTGGCAACCTCCTAGCACATACGGATGGCCGTACTTAACTGACCAGGTGACTATTACCTTAACAAAGGAACTAGTGTGACCAGTTTGCTGGGTTTCCTCTTGTAGAGCCTAACCTTGCAGTCACAGGGTCAAAGGGACCATGAGCGTTGTCCAGACTGACCCCTCCAACTCATAACAATATTATATCAGGCAACTCCACAGAGTCATCATAGGAAGGAATTTGTCAGATCAGAGAGATGCGGGCAACCCAATGTTGTTAATGCCTTTTTGAGGACTGTGAGGTGAGTGTGTCTTGTGGTGTCTTCTTTTTTGGTCACACATTGCTGTTCATATTGTTTGTTTTTTGCAGGGGAAATCCCTGATATTCAGGAAGATTCACACACTTTTAAATTGTATTCCTGTAATGTGGAGACTAATGGATAGAAAACAAAAGTGGACCCTATAAGCCCTTACAATTGCAAAGAGACTTATACTTCAAGTTGGAACTCTCATCATCTGTTCCTCAGTGGTCTTACTTGTCACTATTGCATTTGTTCATATATCTTACAATCACCCATCTCATTTGGATATCTATTAGGAAATATGGACGGTGTATATTAATATATGAGATAAATTTAGGGCTGATGGATTATTCTAATTGTTAATGCGAGCCGATGTCATTTTGTACCTTTTTCTGTTACAATTTTTTTAAAAAAAATTAGGTGAGTGTTTACATTGAAAACAGAGCACGATGGGTATTTCCAGTTGTTGGGATGAGAGGAAATATATAAAGTTTTGGTTTTAATGTCAAATATTTTGGTGCATTCTGAACCCTACTTCCAAAAATTACCTGATCATTCAAATCATGCCTTTCTTTCTTTTATTTATTTTTGTGGGGCAGGGGGAGGAGAAGGTTCTGAATAATTGAAATGGATGCATGTTTTATACATCCCTCGCTTTTGTTAGCGTGGCACAGAGGATTTCTCTCTCTCTCTCTCTCTAGTTTAGTTATTTCTTCCCTGTTGTTCTTCTAGGGCACGTTCTGGCAACAGACAAAAGGGGACACTGCTGCAGCTTCCAGGACTGCAGGCTGAGGAGGCAAGGAGAGGAGCGCGTGATTGATGGAGTTCTGGTTGGCTTATAAAGGGCAGCCCGGAGAGCAGCGAAATAATCAGGGAAAAGGGCGTCCCATACTGGCTCTCTCAGAGGGGAGAAATGAATCCTGAACCTCTGCATTATTAAGTTGTCAGGCGGGCTGATGATGAAAATCTGAAGGTCAGGAATAACAAGAAGCACCTTATGGGGAGATCACGACCTTTTCTGGGAGTGCTACACTCATATTTATCCGCACCTAACCCTTATCCACAATTCTTCATTTGATAAGAACATTCGGAGAAAAGAGACGAAAGAGGGAAGGAGAGGGGAGGGCAGGGGGTGTGCAGCCAGGGAGGGGTTGAATGGGTGGGTGGGTGAGGGGTTGCAGGAAGGGGGGGAGGTTGAAGGCCTCATTGTCTCCCCTCTAAGCGGTGAGTGAAAATTAGGCTCCTCGCAGAACTGATTGTGGATGCTGAAGTCATAGGGAAAGATAATAAACCAAAAGGACACACAAGGGATGCAGACAGAAATTGTTTGCTACAGTGGAACTCAATAAAGGGAGCAGGAGTTTTCTTAAATGACAAATTTGGTTCAGTGGTGCTAAAATCAGTGCTGTCCCTGGTACCACATCAGCCATTCTGTCTCAGAGCTACCATTTAGTTAGTTAGTTAGTTAGTTAGTCCAAGACAAAACTCTCTTTTCTTTTCTTTTCTTTTTTTCTTTTAGGAAAGCAATTAATCCAAATGTAAAATAAAGTCCTTCTTCATGCAATGCCTAGTTAATTATGGTACACGCTGCCACAGGAGGCAGCGATAGACATCAACCCAGGTAATTTTAAAAGAGGATTGGACAACTTCGTGGAAGAGAGAGCTATCACACTCTGGTGGAAAAGGGTGCTATTGTCACTTGCTGGCTTCCCACAGGCATCTGGTTGATCTCTGTGAGAAGAGGATGTAAGGCTAGATAGGCCATTGGTCTGATCCAGCAGGCTCTTCTTAGGTTCTTAATATTTGTTTTTAATAGCCTCTTCACACATTATTACATCCTTATTCCCCCAGGTGTGCACCTAAAACATTTGAAGCGTATGCCTACAAATAGAATGTGTGAACTTGGCTAACAAAGATTTGCAAACCTTTGCCATGAACTAGGGATTGGCTAGTTCACCTTGCCAACAAAGGTCCTTATAGTAAAAGCTATGGTTTTCCCAGTAGTGATGTATGGAAGTGAAAGCTGGACCATAAAGAAGGCTGATCGCCAAAGAATTGATGCTTTTGAATTATGGTGCTGGAGGAGACTCTTGAAAGTCCCATGGACTGCAAGAAGATCAAACCTATCCATTCTTAAGGAAATCAGCCCTGAGTGCTCACTGGAAGGATAGATCGTGAAGCTGAGGTTCCAATACTTTGGCCACCTCATGAGAAGAGAAGACTCCCTGGAAAAGACCCTGATGTTGGGAAAGATGGAGGGCACAAGGAGAAGGGGACGACAGAGGACGAGATGGTTGGATAGTGTTCTCGAAGCTACCAGCATGAGTTTGACCAAACTGTGGGAGGCAGTGGAAGACAGAAGTGCCTGGCATGCTCTGGTCCATGGGGTCACGAAGAGTCGGACAAGACTAAACGACTAAACAACAACAACAACAAAAGGTATTGGCTGCAGCTAAGGATGGACCATGGCTCAGTGGTTGGTAGAGCATCTGATTTGCATGCAGAAGGTCCCCAGTTTGATCCCTGGCATCTCCAAGTAGGGTTGCCTGAAACTGTGGATAGTCCTTGAACTGACCTAGCAAGGAAATTCTGCTGCTTCTGCTGCTATCATTACCATTAATGTGCACTTCTTCCCTAGATAGTCACAGTGATGAGAAAACAAAGAGGTAGACACTAAATATGAATTTAAGATAGTCATAACTTTATCACTCACTGTAAATGCACATATGACTGAAACAAGCTAAGAGGGGAGATTTTAAACTGCCCTGCCCTTATATGGATAGACCCTCCTTGCTCTGCCAAATGAATGAAGTGATAATGGGGCTTTCAAGTTTACTGCTGTTTGTATAACAATAGTAATTTTTAGCATAACTAGGAAACAGCTTAGCAATATTAGGAAACATAAACAGGCAGAGGCTGGGCACATCTTTCATTTTCTTTGATATGGTTCCAGCTTCAAACTAGCAGTTTAAATAATAGCAGCTGTATTATTATTTTTTGGACTTATCCTAGGGTCATGGCTAAGGATCCTCTTAAGGGTGTTCCATGAGGAGGTACTGCAGTTCAAAAGTCTCCTAATGTTTGCATAAGGTGACAGATTCTGGTGTAAGGACTGTGTCATTCAATCCTGAGAAAGCATCAATTTAGTGGCCTGGGGGTTATCTGAAAATGTGGGGCCATTCCAGTAGGAAGGAAAGGAGATAACGTAATGCTTGCATACGAAAACTAAGCATGAATAGTCATATTGAAGGAGGAGTAGAAGCATTTGCAACATATTAGAATATTAAAAATGTTACATGCACATTATCTCAGTATAGCCTTACTACTACCTTGTCAGAAGGAAAGGAGAAGTTGTTATATAGTGTCCAAGACGTTGCTTGTACATCATCACAATAATCTTTGCAAAACTCTGTAGCATAGGGTTAGTGGTATATTGCTGATGTAAGCTGAGGGTAAGAAATCATTAACTGAGGTGAGATTTCAAACAGAGACTTCCTGGCTCAGAGTCTACACTTTAGCCTACCATATTACATTGGGACATGGGTGGCGCTATGGTCTAAACCACTGAGCCTCTTGGGCTTGCTGATTGTAAGGTCAGCGGTTCGAATCTGCATGATGGGGTGAGCTCCTGTTGCTCTGTCCCAGCTCCTGCCAACCTATCAGTTTGAAAGCTCCCCAGTGTGAGTAGATAAATAGGTATCACTCTGGTTTCCATCACAGTGTTCCATTGCACCAGAAGCGGTTTAGTCATGCTGGCCACATGACCTGGAAAGCTATCTGAAGACAAACACTGGCTCCCTCGGCCTGAAAGTGGAGATGAGCACCACAACCCATAGCCAAGATGGACTGGACTTAACCGTCCAGGAGTCCTTTACCCTTTACATTATACAGTGGTACCTTGGGTTACAGATGCTTCAGGTTACAGACTCCGCTAACCCAGAAATAGCACCTCGGGTTAAGAACTTTGCTTCAGGATGAGAACAGAAATTGTGCGGTGGCAGTGCAGCAGTAGCAGGAGGCCCCATTAGCCTTTAGTGGTACCTCAGGTTAAGAACAGTTTCAGGTTAGGAACAGAACTCCAGAACAAATTAAGTTCTTAACCCAAGGTACCACTGTATCGGCTTAAAATTTAAGAAGGGGGCTCAAATTTGAGGGTTAATTTGAGCCAGGAAGTAATCACACCTATGGTATTAGAGAGCATGACCTTGTATTCAAAGGATGTTGTTCTGAGACAGGCTTGACCTGTGGCATCGTTCATTTCTAGAGTTCTTAAAACGTACTTTGTGGGGAAGGGCTTAGTGGTAGAGCATCTGCTTTGCATCTAGAATGTATCAGGTCCAGTTCCACAGCATCCATGGATAGGCCTGGGAATGTCTCCTTCTGAAATCTTAGAAATCCGCTGGCAGTCAGCATCGACAGTCATGACTTAGATGGACCAATTGGTCTGATTCCATATAAGGCATACTTTAAATGCTACTCTTACTGAGAAGTTGAACTAAAATAATAATAATAAAAATCCTGACTTCCATTAAACCAGGTTTTTTGCTGAATATACGTCAAAGATTTTATTACAGGCTCTGTGCAATAAAGTAATTGCATAATTAGTAATACATTCGTCATTCTTCCACCAAGGAAAAAGAATACACGTACAGCTTTTGTGTAAAATCTGACAGTGGAAGAAGGTTCCCCCCCTCTCCTCCTTTCCCCCAGAGAATTATATCATTATATCATAAAAGTGTCAAAGCTTGAGTTTACTGTTCAGGCTAATATTCTCAAATATTCTCTTAGGCTGACATCTCTGTCAATTAAAATTAAACAAAATTGCATTGTGCCTTATACACTTCAAATGGGAAGCTTTCAAGTTTATGGCTGTTCTTTGAATTGATTTTTAAGATGGCATCTGTAAAACCTGCCTTGTACAAGATGAGGTGGAAGGGAGGGGAAAGGAGGGGGATGTAGTTAAGGTTCAAGTCAATTTTAAAAATGGTTTCAAGATCATAAACCAACAACTGGAAGTTATGGGGAATCTGAGGATCTATATAAAACCGAGTGTGTTTTCTTTAAAAGAGAAAGAAAATATTGAAGATTCGCACCATGTTAATTTCATCAAAACCTGGGTTTACTGCTTTACATCCTTTGATTCTGATAGTGTGTGTGTGTGTGTGTGAGTGTGTGTGTGTGTACCCCTGCATCTCTCCCCCCCCCATAGGAATAAGAAAAACAAGAACACTTTTCTTGTTGGGTTCCAGTTGCTCAGTCTCCCAGGATTTCATGTCCTACCACTCCTGGAGTTTCCCACAGAAATACGCTGTCTTTCTCATGGGACTGCATGTTTCTCATGGAACATAATAGGTTCGTCAGAAAAAGATGTTCTCCAGAAGCAGTGACACCCTGCCAATAAAAGGATTTTTGTGGGGTTTGTGTGGATGATTACTCTCAATGAAATGACGATATATATGTGCATATATACCCAATCTAAATTGCACTGCCAAGGTTGTTCTCCCAAAACATATTCCCAAAGCTTGATCACTTAGGTTGTGTTAAAGGGTTGCTCATGCTAGATCACACAGGGGCCTTCTAGGGATTGTTAGCAGCCATCTGTCTCCCAAGAAAGGTTGCGTAGCATCGGCCACTGTGATGGGCAGAATGAAGGAAGCCTCCGGTTTGGCAATGGCTCATATAAATATGAGAAGCTTGGCATTCTTCCCGTGTCTGTTCAACAGAGCTTGATGTACTGCCTGCTATACTTTAGGAACACAGGAAGGCGCCTGATTATACCAAGTCAGGCCATCTACAATAGGGGCAGGGAACATTTTTCCACCCCAATGTCCATATTCCATCACTGGGGACTAGTCGGGATCCAAATACCAGTGGTGGGTGGGGAGAGCAATGGATGTGCCTTAGCTTTGTACAGTAGACTACATTTCGGTTGCACAAAGGGACACATTCACACATCTCCTTGTTCTCCAACCAATCAAGTAGTAGGCAATGGCTGCATTCAGACAGCACTTTGTTCCGTCTTCCCGACATTTCCTTACCTGTTAATTTTCACATTTTATGTGATCTTTCACATGACATAAAGCCACATACTATTCATTCTTCACTTGCACTCTGAAATGGTACAGTCCTCTATGACCTCTGGATTATACCGCTACATTCTACTGCGTATGTGGACCCAGTATCAGATCTTGGGCAGTTTTCTTCAGCCTTGAGGCCCCACATGCTGCTGAGTTGCAACTTCCATCTTCCCCAGCCATCTTAGCCAATGATTAGCGATTAAGGGAGTTGTAATTCAACAATATCTGGAAATCGAAGGTTGACGAACACCGGATGAAGGCGACCATGTGTCCTATTTTACAGAAGACAGTCCTCAGTTTGAAGGTGTCCTCTTTTTGAAAGGCTGCCCTGGCCAAGTCTGGTTTAAAGATAAGGAACCCTAAGAAGGGAGATCAAGAGGGGGCCCAAGGTTGCCCACCCACAGTGAGCACCTGAGCAGCAGATTTCGGAGGCCCATGGGTCACTGGGCCATCTCTACTATAGTGAGATGTATTGCATTTCTGTCTAGATTATTGTAATTCTTTCTAAATTTACATTTATACATATAAATGTATATGTAAATTGTATATACACCTGTGTCTTTACTTCTCTCTCTCTGGCAATGCAGTTCCTCTTTTGGGTGATGTGTCTACTCTGCATTAGATATGGCTCCTGCCTCTTTAGCCTGCTCCTCACAGTGGGCAGCAATAAAATCACCAGGACACCTGAGGAAAAAACTGAGGTTCTTTTTATGGAGCTGGATTAATGAATGATGTGCAGAATTCATGACCTGCAGCTCCTGGGCCATAGCAGCAGAGAAAGTATAGTCCTAAAACTGGGCTGTTAAAACATATGTATTAACTCACAAACACACAAACACTGCCTTTCTGGAAGTGTTGTAATTTTTGAATACTGTTCTAAATGCTATCTGGAAATAGCACACATTCCTGTTTCAACATAGTTAAACACACACACATGCATACATGAATAAAACAATCAGTAAGCATAATTCATAACATGATTGATTATCAACCATGACAGTGAAATCAGATAATCTCTAGTTTCTTAACTAAACATTTTCTGAAACAGCAAGCTGTTCCCCAATTGCATATGTACACTTGACTATGCAGGTGTTAGCTGCTTATGGGCTCAGGTCAAGAGAAATATTTAACTAGAGCCCCCTGAGACAAAAGGCAAAATTAAGAAAAGAAGGGTTTATAAATTGTGTGTGTGTGTGTGTGTGTGTGTGTGTGTGTGTGTGTGTGATCGTTTTAGGGACTAGGTTACTGGGAGAGTGCTGATAGAAGCCCCTTAATTCATTCATTTAGAGCTTGAATGCTGTTTCATTTGACAACTTCAAAGAGAATTCTAACTGGCAATTAAAATCACCTATATCAACAGAGGGCAGGTCATAGTACAGATTCAAAAAGGTATATGACTGCAATTCTATACTCTCTTCTTGAATGGGGGTGGCGTGGCATAGAAATTCATATGCTTCCAATTTAAATGAGAACCAATGAAATTTGCACTTCCCAAACCAATATGTGAACCAAATCAGAAATTTCCTCCAAAATTCTCACTCCCTTGAATTTTGCGGTGCACATCTCCAAACAAATGGTCAGTAGAAAAAAAAGAGTACATTTCATTGAAAATTACTCGCAAAAATGAGCTAACTGGTGAAAAATGATGTAGCAGAAATGTTTCTGAATACCAGTTGCTGGAATCCACAGGAGGGGAGAATACCCTTGTGCTTGCACCCTGCTTGTGAGTTTCCTACAAGCATCAGGTTGGTCACTGTAAGAGCAGGATGCTGGACTAGATAGGCCATTGGCCTGATCCAGCAGGCTGTTCTTGTGTTCTTAGTAGTTTGGTCTAGAATGCCCTACCCACAGTGGAGGCAGGTTCATTAGGGCAAATGCATTGCCCCACCAACCTCAGTCTGCCCTCAGCCAGCCTGTGCTTGCCTTACTTATAGCAAGACTGGGGGTGCCAATGCCTATTGGCTTCCTCCAGCATAATTTCCATGTTGCCCTTGTATAACTCATCAGGGAGGAGTCTGGGGACACAAGTTGAATTAGTTGACTCTGCCTGTCTTGGGCTATGGCTCCATCTATTATTGGCCGCAACTGCACCTACTGCTGGACTCTCTGCCCTCTGCCCCACCCAGTGCTATTTTTTTCCTAGAGAAAGAGGTGCTGGAACTCACCATGAACTCCTCCCTTATTCTCTTATAATGGCAATAGCGCCCACCTGAGAGGTGCTGGCACTGAGGTCCAGTGAGTTCCAGCTGAAAAACAGCCCTGGCCCCACCAGTCCCAATGGCCACTCCTGGTAGAAAATAGCCAATTCAGGTATGTGGAGGCAAACCTGGATGTACAATCAAAAGAGAAGTACAGCCAGCCCAAGTTGCCTGATGTCAAGCCATGTGCTCACAAGCACTTCTGTGTCACACTTGAGGTTTGTCAGGCGCCCTCCTCAACCATCTTAGGTGTACCCTTAACCAATGTAATGTATGGATCCGGTGATGCTCAAACACCCCTGGAAGAGAATTGCCTTTGAGCTTCTTCTCAGAGTGGCTCATTTAATTACGGACTGGCTGTATTTCAACTGGATGGCCTGCCGAGATGTGCTCTTAAGAGCAGAGTGCTTTTGAAATAAAACTATGAACTGCACACTCGCAGTCATTGATCGGTACTCTGAAGTTATGGAGCAGTCCTGGAGAAAGAGAAGGGCAACGAGGAGGGGATGAGTCTTCATTGTCTTCCTTTTAAGGAGGAGTTGCAAGCTGTCAAGGGCGTAAGGAAGTTCGATGCTTGCTCAGATATGGAAATTACAAATAATGTTGCATGCCACCACAATCTCTGAGTGGTGTGAAATTTCAGGGGTTTCAGGCACTTACCCAGGGTTTGTGTTTCCTTTTAGAAATGAGGCACAGCAGAAACTATGGTGTCCTTATGATATATGGTTTATTTACACATATATACAACCTGAACCTATGATGGAGGAATTCACAGCATTAACACCCCACAAGGGCCTTGCTTCCCCCATAGGAAGCACAGCCTTGGATACAAACAGAAACCAAACATTGCTCTGACTCTCTTGCTGCTTTGCTTCTTGCTCGTATCACTTTTCTCTCTCAATTTTCACCTTTATCTTTCTAAGTACCTGTGATTTGGGAGAGTCACCCACCCATCTGCTGTCTGGCACATATCTACTTTCTGTGTTGCCTTAATGACCCATTACCTCACCAGAAAGTTAGCCTGGCTATTCCAAGAATTATAAGGTGGGGCCAGACACTTGAAGGGTCTTAGCATACAGTCTACCCCAGTCCTCAACTCATAGCAGTTTAATCCATTGCAAGATAGCCTAGCCCATTGAGTTTGCTTTCAGTGGTGTGTTTTTGGAGACATTTTTGCTTGGTCATGGGCTGCATCAATATCCATAACTGAATAATTTGTAGAAATGTGTGGAGCAGTGGAGCAGGGGCAGGCAGAAGCTAGAATCAGATCTACTGGTAGATCACTGAGTGATTTGAAGTTGTCTGGCTGGAATTTGTCTATTTCTTGCCTGGATGGAGGACAAAAAGTGGTGTGTGTAGAAACAAGCCTACTGTGCAGTGGTAATATTTACATTTGTTGCACTGCCCACGTTTGGCTCCTACCTTGTTTTGCATTGTTTTGCATTGGCTCCTACCTACTGCCATGTGGCCCTCAGAAGATTCCCTGGAAGGGAATGAGCCCCACAGGCTAGACAAGGTTCCCCACCCCACTCTAAAGGGTGGCTCACACCTGCTGAACTTTACTACAGAGGACGTTCTTCTATTTGATGGTGCCCTTGATCTGACGGGCTGTCTGGTTTCAAGATAGACCATAGGAGATCCGGAAGGGCCCTGAAGTTGCCTATCTCTACTTAGCAGCACCTGGACAGCAGATAGAGCAGGCAGGCACACAGGTCACCTGCTCACATCCTTGTCCCCCACTATGATGAGATGTATCACATTTCTATGTAAATTGCAGTAATTGGGTTGTATTCGATAATAGTCATAATCAGAGCAGACCCATTTAATTTAATGAACATGGCAAAATTGGGTTCATTCATTTCAATGGGTCAATTTTCAGGAAAACTTAGTTGGATATAACTCATTGAGCTTGCATGCATGCACTCAAATTAATATATGCAAAATCCATGCCCTCGTTTGCCTTCTGTTTGGGGGCGATGCACAATGGTCACCCTAAATCTCAATCTACAAGTCAGAAATAAGGGTGGGATCACAGAATGAGGGGAAAGGAGAGCAGCCAAAATGGCAAGAACTGAATGTGAGGAACTCTTGTTACTCAAAAGGGCACCCAAGCAAGGGCTGTTGCTCAGTAGCTGAGCATCTGCAGAAGGTTGCAGGTTCCATCCCCAGCATCTCCACTGAATGTCCCCTGTCTGAAAGCCTGTGGAGCTGATGCCCATCAATACTGAGACAATACTGAACTAAATGGACCAGTGGTCTAACTTAGTACAGGCAGCTTCCTATATTCCCACTTGGACTTTACTTCATAACTGATGGTCCATTTAGCAGATTGAGGTACCACATTAAATGTCAGAGGAAATCTCACCCAGCACAACTGTATGATTTGTTTAATAAATGCAGTCTAATATTATGTTGGTGTATTTATTAGAGCTGGTGTTTCATATCTATTACAAGAACAGGCAGTCCCAAGCATCACCCAAGATCATTCTGATAAATTAACATCCAGAGAGAGCCTCATAAATTGCCCTCTAATTTGTAGGAACAGTAAGGCATAAGAAGCCTAACCTTTTGCTTCTGCAACTCCACCTGACCTGGGGGGAGAGTTTTCTTTTCTTCCTTTTCCAAGTGTAGGCCAGAACATGTTCTGTGGCTGCATTGTTGGCCCATAGACCGCGATATTGAGATCTTGGTGTGATGGGCTTTCAGCAAGGAAGTACAAACCCTAATCCCTAGACACAGTTTCAAACAAACACTCACTTTATTTACTCATATCCGTCTCTTCGGGGGGTGGGGGACACGGTGGGGAGGAGGTGATGGGGAAAGGGTGGAAAGGGAGCATAGCTCACTTAATCCCAATACTAACACAATATTGATTCGCATTCATGCTCACTATTTATTGACGTGCGTTGCATACAATGGATGGTCTCAATTAGGCGGCCCCTTTCAAGGGAAGGGGCAATCACATTAGAAAAGTGACGAAGCCAACAGTTTAGAGAGGTCTAATTTTATGTAAAGTAAACCATCCAGACGCCAGGAGTGAGGGAGTGGTGGCGGGGGGGATGCATGTTTCAACAAATCAAAATATTATTTTTAACCCCCAGTCCTAAAAAGAAAACCCAAAACAAATGGGATTTATCTGTAGAGCTAATTATCCTAGCTTAATATCTGTCCACAATCACATCATTGGACTCCAACATCTGTAATGAAATCTACTTCTCACACTGTGTGTTAAGTTCTTGTGTATTCTATTAAACAGTGTTCAATGTGTTTACCTAATAGCTTAGCACAAGATTTGCTTGGCGGTGCCGGAACCAGATTTATGGAATATTGCAGGCTGCTCAAAAATTTTGCACTCCCCTTTTAAGCTGGGCTGCGTCGTGCAAAATGCATATTAAAAAATTGTCACCAAGGTGAGCAGGACCTGGCCTGGAAGGAGCACTTAGGCCTCTCAATAGCCACATACGGTTAAAATATAAAACACCTTCCCCTTTCTTTTTCTCTTTGGCCCCTTGCAGGTCTTTATTGCCTGGTCGCAGCTGGATTTACACTGTATTTAATAAAACATTAGTAGTCACTAGGGACTGAAATATGTAACATAAGTCTTTTTCAGTAAAATAATTCCATAAATCTACCTATGAAGCTTTTTTTCTTGCAAGAGCTGTATGTTCATAATTTAATTATAAATGTGGTGTATGTTTTCTTTTTTACCTCACTCTTGAAGTTTCATGGAAGCCAAACCTTTCCATAGTTTCTTGCAGATACATGTTTGCATATTTTGAAGTTGATTCTGAGTCTGCTCACTATCATGTTTGATTGTTCACTTTGGAAACAGAATTCTGGATTAGGTGAGCCTTTGATCTGATCCACCAGAGCGCTCTCTCTCTCTCTCTTTCTCTCGCCCTTGTAGAATTGGAAGGGACCATGACGGTCATCTAGCCTACCCCCTGCAATGCAGGAATCTTTCATCCCACGTGGGGCTCGAACCCATGACCCCAAGATTAGGCATCTCATACTCTTCCAACTGAGACAGACAGACAGACAGAGAGTTATGTTTTCTCTCTCAATTCTTTCCACTGTCAGGTTTATAGAATACATTCATATCCCACCTTGTAGGCTTTTCAGAGTTATATGGTTGACCACTGCGAGAGAACCTTCTCTCAGTCCCATCAACATCAGAAGCCCCGTTGTTGGTAACATGAGAGAACCTTTTCTGTGGCTGCTCCTGTATTGTGGAATTTCTGCCCAAGAGAAATTCTCCTTGGTCTCTATCTGCCAGGAAGCTTCCCAAATAAGCAGGCCTTTGAAAACTAGGTACAGGGCAATTGGTATTTTAATACTAGTTCTAAATGTGTCTTACTGTATGATAACTATTGTTTTTAACTAGTTTATTGTTCTTCTTACTACTTTGCATTTTATAATGATGTTTGCAAAATGTTGATTCCCAAGTTGGAAGAAAGACAGGATAGAAATGCAGTAAATAATAAACAAGGAAACAACAATAAGATGCTGGACTAAATGGCCCCATGGGCTTGATCCAGCAGTTAGGCTTTCCTACCACAACTCCTATGATGGAGGCTGATTTAGGACACAGGAAACTGCCCTATGCTGAGTCAAACCATCGGTCTATCTAGCTCAATATTGCCTCTGAAAGCTAGTTGCTGGGAATCTCAGGAGGGGAGAGTGTTGCTATTGCACTCGGGTCCTGCATGCAGGCTTCACTCAGGCATCTGGGTGGCCACTGTGTGAACAGAATGCTGGACTAGTTGGGCATTGGGTCTGATCCAGCAGATCTTATGTTCTTCCAGCATAAAGACACTCCACATGGAATCTCCCATCCAGGCAGAGGACGAGAACCAGTACCAAGCCTGCTTAGCTATCAGGCTGCATCCTGGGAAGTTGGGACATTTGTTGCTCTGGAGAGAGCTTCATATTAACCACCTAGGCAGGATTTGGATAGCATTTCATTTATTTAGTCTGCCATCAGCTTTATCGTTTTTGGATTGTATTTTATGTGACTTTATTGGCATTTCTCTCTTCGTTTTTATAGCTTTCGGAGGTTGTTTGGGTACATTTTGTGCATGCTTGCATATAAAATGCCTAAAATACATAGATAAATAACTGAATAAATAAAGGGAGTCCTTGGTCGAGACATCTTTCTCATGTGGGAGACTGGGTTAATTTCCCTGTCTGCAGGGGGAACTATTCCAGACCATGACAAGGTGGATTCCTCAGAAGTTATGTCTTTCTCTTGGTTCTGGGAAATCCTTATTAAACATTTATTTGGGATGAGCATGAGCATTGGTTGTTGTGTGTGTGCTTTTTTTTTCCTTTTTAAAAAGTGTCTTGGTATGGAGTTATTTAATTACTTTTGTGAGCAAGTTTAAGGAGAAGCCTATCCGATCACACTGCGTGGCCTAAAATAAGATTATTTACAATCCAATCTAAGGAGTGCTGACTGGTGGTGTTGGCAGCGAAAGCTGCCTCAGCATTTAAATTCCCACTTTTTCTGGGCAAAAACCCAGCAGGCTGATTCAATTAAACTCTTTATGTTATATATTACCCAGAAGTTCACCATCTGAAGCAATTCACAGAGGCTGAAGCCATGCCTTTATGATTGCAATTTGGTAGCGAGACAATTTTTTTTCCCAGGGACTTTTTTTTAAAAGTTGAACTGCAATGAAAGTGACAGGCGGCAACCACATACATTTTGATTGTGGGTTCTCTGAAAGGCACACGTTGACCCCTTTCCCCATGAAATGAAACATTATTTCGAGACCGCATAATAAATATTATTCATTGGGATGTAGATGAGCACATTGCAAATGTAATTTCTTGGGGAAAGGAGCCCCAAATCAATAGACCTCCCTGCTCCTTTATTTATGGCAACATCCCATCCTGGTGCCCTTCAAATATTTTGGACTACAAATTCCATCACCCCCCAACCATTGACAATTGTAGTATGTGATGCCAATAAAAGGTTTGATGGTGATGGTGACAACTGTAGCTGATTGGGAAGGCTGATTTAAGATAATAAGAATGGAGGCTTTATCAACATATCAGTGCCTTAAGTCTTTAATAGGTACAACATAAGTTATCTTGAGTTGTTCTCTTGGTCCATCTAGCTTTCTTCTTCTTCTTCTTCTTCTTCTTCTTCTTCTTCTTCTTCTTCTTCTTCTTCTTCTTCTCCTCCTCCTCCTCCTCCTCCTCCTCCCCCTCCTCCTCCTCCTCCTTCCCCTTCTCCTTCTCCTTCTTCTTCCTTTATCCGAACATCATAGGGTGGTTCACAACATAACACACCACCATCTCCAACTCTCATCCCATCTCCCCAGGGTGGGGAGTCCATGGCTCTCCAGCTATCATCAGCCCCAGTCAGCCTGGTATTGAAACAATAGCCCTCTCCTACTGTTGCTCCATAGGAACTGCTACCTAGTGGCATTCTGTCTCTGAGCATGGAGGTTGCATATTCTCCATAGTGACTTGAGACTGATAGACTTGTCCTTGATGAACTTATCTAATCCCTGTTAAAGCCATCTGAGCTTGTGGACATCACCACTTTTTCTGCCAGCTCTCTCATAGGTCTACGATGTACCCATGCATGAACAAGTATTTCCTTTCGTCTGTGCTGGATCTCCCACCATACGCCATCGAATGAGAAAATTATAGTCCACTTTCCGCATATCTTGCATAATCTTATAAACCTTGATTATGTCTGGCATTTCTTTCGCCCTCACCCCACACCCAAACTAAAGAAGTCCCAAATGTTGCAAACTTTTCTCACAGGGGATCCAGTCCACCCATCCTTTTTGTTGCCCGCCTATATGTGTAAGGAGCTGCTTCCTCTCGAATCTAGCTCAGTATTGCCAGCAATGATTGGCAGCAGCATTCCAGGGGCTCAGTCAGGGATCTCTCCCAGCCCAAGCTGGAGATACCAGAAATTGAACCCGGGACCCACTGCATGTAAAAGAGATGCTCTACAACTCAGCTTCTACTCAGCTCACCCTTCTCCACTCTACAATATATGTGTGAAGATGCAGCAACCAGAAATGTACAGTGGTACCTCTGGTTGCGAATGGGATCCTTTCCGGAGACCCGTTCGCAACATGAAAAGAATGCAACCCGCAGCAGCACGTCTGCACATGCGCGGGTTGCGATTTGCTGCTTCATACATGCGATTCGCTGCTTCACACATGTGTGTGACATCATTTTGTGCGTCTGTGCATGCGCGAGCGGTGAAACCCGGAAGTAACACTTTCTGGTACCTCTGGGTCGCCATGGGACGTATCCTGAAAGAACACAACATGAAGCAGATGTTACATGAGGTATGACTGTACTCATTGTTCCAGGACAGCTTGCACCATACATATGTATTGTATAATGGCATTTGGATATTTGCCAGTTTATTCTGCAACTCTGACCTGACCATTTTGAGCATGGAATTTACCCTTTTCCACAGCTGCCATACATTGCACTGCCATTTTCACTGAGGTCTCCACCATAACCCCAAGATCACTTCCTACCAGCTCAGATGCCATCAGTGTATATTTAAAAATCCCCCCCCCCAAATAAAGTAAACCCCCAAATGGGGTGAAAGGTGAACAGAACTCTAGGCCACATCCCCACTATGCAGAGAAAACATTATTATGTCATTTTAAGAGTATGGAGAATCCTGGAAACTGTATTCATTCCTTTTTGTTTATTTCATGAGATATCACTCAATTGTGATAAAACCTCAAAGCAGTTAAAATAAAATGATGAAATTATCAATTAAAAAGTTTTTAAAAAACTATTCAGAACATTCAGAAAATAATTAACAATAGCTATTTTTTTATATATTTTTATTGAATTTATATACCACCCTATACCAAGAGGTCTCAGGGCAGTTCACAGATTAAAACCCAGATTAAAACACATGTCAACATTCTAAAAGATTGGCTTTTCTTTTTCCCAGCCGGAACTCACCGGAACTAAATTCTGGAACCTCTCCGGGCCCCATTGCCATTACAGTTGTACCTTGGAAGTCGAATGGAATCGGTTCCAGAATTCCATTTGACTTCCAAAACCAAAGTGTGGCTTCTGATTGGCTGCAGGAAGCTCCTGCAGCCAACCGGAAGCCACAGAAGCCCCGTTGGACATTCGGCTTCCAAAAATAGTTCGCAAACCAGAACAGTCATTTCCGGGTTTGCGACGTTCAGGACCCAAAACGTTCGGAAATTAAGCTGTTCGACTTCCAAGGTATGACTGTATAAGAGAACAAGGGAGGCGTTCATGGTGAGTTCTGGCACCTCTTTTTCTAGAAAAATAGCAGTGGGCTTGCCTAAACAAAAATGCTTTGAGCAGGCACCAGAAAGAGTACAGTGGAAACACTTGCCTGATGTCAACAGGCAGTGAGTTCCAAAGGGTAGGTATTGCCACAGGAGAAGATTGATTTCTTTTAAATGTGGAATGAGTATTATGAGACACCCATAACAGTGCCAGTTTAAAGTGATCAAGTGGGCATATATGGAGTAAGGTGGTCCTGCCAGTGAACTGGTCCCAAGTTGTTAAGGCCTTTGTATACTCATGGCTGTCTTAAGCATATGCGGCGCCAGGGTGCAAAGATCCGCCCGGTGCCCCCCCGCAGTTGCCAAGTCCCAGGCGCACAGGACTGCAGAGCCGGCTGCCCACCTCAGCATCTCGCTGGCTCGGTCACCCCTGAACTCGCGACACAGAGCCGCCCGCAGCAGAAGAGCCCACCGTTGTGCTCTGACCAACGAGCAGGCTCTTCTCCGAACTCAACTCTCAGGCCCCGGACTCTCGGCCTGGCGCCCTTGAGAGCCCAGCACCCGGGTGCCCGACACCCCTAGAGCCTATAAGTAAGATGGCTCTGTGTATACTAATAGCAACACCCTGAACTTATCTTGGAAGCAAATCAGCAACTAGTGTACTGACAAAGTCTCAGTCCTGTCAGCATCTGTGCCACAGCATGAAACGTTGACCTCACAGAGCTAGTTTGCAGCACCCTAAACAAACTACAGTTCCCAGGATTCTCCATGACTA